GGGTGGGTGTGGGTGGGTGTGGGTGGGTGGGTGTGGGTGTGGGTATGATTGTTAAACTTCTGATAGTTCACATCCACACAACACACCCACACCCACACCCACACTAGACCCCGTCGGGTAGGACCCGGACCCGAACCCTACCCGGACCCGCACGGGTCCGAGTCCGGGTCCAAAAATTTTACTTTGGCCGGGTCCGGGTCCAAAAATTTTATTTTGACCGGGTCCGGGTCCGGGTCCGGGTCTGAAAATTTTGCTTTAACCGGGTCCAGGTCTGAAGAAAACTTTGATCCATACAATTTATTTTGAATTTTTTTAAAGTTTTGTTCGTTTTATACAAAGAAGAAATCAAATGTATTTAGAAAATAGATAAAAAACAACAAAACCCTTCTTGACTATACTATCTAAACTGACTTGTCATTGTGTTTGGATCCAAAAAACTTAAGCGACCGGGTCCGGGTCCAGCAACCTGTAAACGGGTCCGGGTCCGGATCCGGGTAGAAAAATTTTAAATGATCGGGTCCGGGTCCGGGTCCAAAATCCTGGGCCAGGGTCCGGGTCCGGGTCCGGATCCAAAAATTCTGGACCCGACGGGCTCTAACCCACACCCTCAATTGAAATATTGTTAATCTTATATTATTTTCTTCGAAACTAAACATACATATGGGTAGTTATCCATTCAATGAAAAAGAAGTTGTAAATACCATCGAATTGGATATTAACAACGGAAATTTACAAAAGCCAAATATTTACAATAAATATTTACCATTTTATGAATTAATTAAACAACAAGGTTATAAATTATTCAATGAAATTAAAGAAAATTTATCTCGTACTATTCAATTGGCTGAATTCGAACCAGGTTTCTCATTTTGGTCAGCAAAATTAGAACGATTTATTTATCTTTATGGATATTATTTTACCAAAAGTGATCATATTAAATTGATTCATTTCTATTTATCTATTCTTACAATTACTAATCTCAGTTATTCAAATGTAGAAATATGTTTAGATATGCTCAAGCAACTTCTAAGGTTTAGATTTTTTTTCTCTCTTTTTCTTTATATAGTTTATTAAAAGCAATATCTATTCAATAAAATATTTTTATAGGAAAACTCGTCTAATTACACGAGATGATTTAACAATTGACTGGCGTCTTTTCTACAAATGGGCTAAACTTATATTTGATAATAATGATAAAACTTATGGATTAGTTTGTTTACCTGAGTTCGTCATTTTCATAATAAATATTAATACTATTCTAATATATTATTTTTTTTTTTAAGGAATATATAATATTCACTTATGATTTGTGTACAATACTCGTCTCCATATTTGTCTTCAACAGCTACTCAAGAAATTCTTGATCAATTTCGTTCACAATTATGTTTTACCGATTGGTTTTTTATTGATACATTTCAAATATTTCGTATTTTCTTACCTGTTAATTTACCACCAATATTACACAAACGAGGATTCAAGTTTGTTTATGTTCTTTCTCAATTTTATTAATATTGATTTTACTTTAGATTATGGTTAAATGAATTTTTTGATATTTGGGAAAATGTTTATAATCGATCATTATGGGAAACAGTGAGTTTATTTACTTACATAAACAATTATGTAATAATAAATGTATTCGTTAATTAGAGAAATCACATTAGAAGTAAAATATAACGTTGAGAATTCATGATAATCGACAAATAACTGAATGCATGAGATTATTTCTAAAAATTCATCATGATATCGAATATTTTCAATATTGATAATTGTTATCGAACCTGATAAAAACTATGACTTGATCAGAAATTTATCTAAGAGTCAAATCATTTTTGAATAATAAAATCAAATAAGTTAATCTTTGTTCTTTCCTAAAAAGTCAAGAATAGAATGCATAAAACCATAAAATATTGAAAATCGAAATCAATATAATGTTGTCAACATGTCAAATCAAATATAATTCATATTCAATACTACTCGAAATATTTGTTTAATTATGTTTTGTGATATCTATTTAGTATATGATTTGTATATTTTCATCAGTTGCTTGGAATAATATTGGTTATATTGATTGGGAACCTTGGTTATCAAAAGTAATAAAATTTTTTGTTTTTATTTCTTTATAATTAAAATCTTTGTTTATTAGATATTTACTCGTACATTACATGGTTTTTCTCTTCCTATTAGTAAAATAAAAACATCTTCAATAACATCCGGCTATATAATATCATACATAGCTAAATGGATTATTGCTATAAAAAATTTTTATCATCCATCAGATACAGAAGATTTTCAAGAAAAACTTGTTGAATTTCTTGTAAAACTTGCTGAATATTTTGTTGATCGAGTTCATTTGTAAGTAAAATTAATATTTTATAATTTCATTATATATATTAAAAATTCTAAATAGAGAAAATCAAGTTGATTCTTTATGGTTTATTTCATTGCATAAATCATCTCGACTTACAGAAGAAAATATTATTGATTTTGTTAATTGTATAAAAGAATATGTATTTATTTCAATTTTTAATAAAAATTATGGTAAAAAAGCAGCTGAAGCTTGTCGATATCTTTCTATACTTCGACCAGAATTAATTGTACCAATAATTATTGAAAAGTTGTTATATAACATGTTTCTTTCTTCTAAATATTAATTTATTCATATTTAGACATTTTTCATCTATTGATAATATAACTGAACCACATCGTTTTATATCAATTATGAATTGTTTAACATGTTTATCTCGTTCAATAGTACAACAAACATTAATTTATTCTCAAGGACAAATATATGTAATATCATTACTTATGAGTGTATTACCGGGAATTGATTTAAATGAAACATCAATAATATTAGATTTTCTTAATTCTATATTTAAACTTATCATATGTAGTGATTGTTCATTAGCAATAGAAATTCGAAATGATCTAACAGATGTAAGAATTTATGTTTATTTAGATATTATTGTTTTGTTTTTTTTGTTTCATATGTAATAGATTGAAATATTATCAACTGATATATCAAATGATAATGATATCGAATATATTAGCATTCAATCAAAACTTATATCAATTATTTCTAATATTGTTCAACAACGTAGTAAGGAAATTTTTCAAGTATGTATTTAGAAACAATGCAAAAAAAATGAAATCTTGCTAATGATTAAAGTATTCTTTGATTATGTATATAAAGATAAGCAAAACCCTTATAGTAATTATTTTTTCTAAAGATTTTTAATAGTTTTAATATTCCTTCAAAAATAAAATTTTGATGGCGTTTTCATATAGTTTTTCAAAATAACTTTTTCATTTCTTCTACTATGTAATGATCATCATTCGAGATATTCTAATGTTGTGAGAATTTATTTACAGGTTATTATAAGAGATGTGAAATTAATTTTTTTAAATAAATTTCGAAAGAATAAATTTAATCTTTGATATGAAGACTTTATGTTTTCATGTACATAAATACATATGATTAGATCTTACAAAAATTAAAATTATCGAATCGATCTATATGTTAACCAATGATGAATTGAAATTTTCTAAAAAGTTGTTTTTCAAATTTTATGAGAATTCATTTTTTTTTATTCTTTTGTGTATAATCTATTGAAAGAGAAACATTATGTATCTGTGATACTTTTCTTTGAGAATGTAGTTAAGTTTGTTTTTTTTGTATATTTAGATAATTCGAGAGAAAATAATAGATTTTGTTTCATGTCCATTTTTATCGGTAAAAGCAAGAAAATTAGTTTGTGGACTTGTTCTATCTATTGTTAAATGTAATCCAGATGAAATAATTAAATATCTTTTACCTAAAACATATAATTCAATTGAAAAACTAATGAATACATTCGAATCAAATGTATTATTAACTGATCATAAAGGTGATATTGAACTTATTTGGTATTTAATTCTTTTCTCGGAACTTCTTCATGCTCGTGGTAGTATTTTATTTATTTATAAACAAATGATTATGTGTATTTTTCATCGATATATATCTATTATTAATAAAGATGCATATCAAACAATAGCTAATGCTGCTAATCATTTACTTAAATCCTTTCTCACATTTATATAATTGATTATCGACTTACGATTGAAAATATTAATGAAACATTCAATAATTTTTTACCTATTCGTGTAAGTTTTAATCTTTTTATATAATAGAATGAAATATATTGTTGATTTAGGCATGGGGACAACATTTTCATATTGATAAAGTTTTAACATTATTGAATGAAAAAATGCTAAAAATGTCAAATGATGAACGATTAAGATCATTGACAATTATTTATTATACATCAATGGGATGTTTAAATATGATACTACCTATTGATGATGATCAACATTTACAAGATATGTAAATTAACAGATGAAACAAATCAAATTAGTAAAATATTATATTATTTGTTCATTTAGTGTATCATCAGTTGTTTCCTATGATGTAAAATATCCATTTTATCATAATAAATCGAGTAAGAAAAACAAAAAAATTTTTAGAGAATTTTTAATTTATTTCTTTTTATATTTCGAATTTAAAGAAAATCTACGAATGCGTCTTATCATCGATATTGGTAATTTACTTGGTAATTCTTTATCTTTTATTTTGTCAATATATAACAAAATATAAAATAAATTCATTTTATTATTTAATAGATATACTTATAGAGAATAATTCAGATAATGTTAATTCAATTAAATTAGCTCTTAAAGTAATAATAATTATATAAAATATTTCTAATTGTTTTTTTTTCTCATTTAAATAATATAATATAGATATATTCATTATCATCAATCTTTTATGGTATAACAAAAGATGATATTTATAAATTGTCTAGAGATATTCAATCTAATAAAAGATTAATTAAGAATAAACTTTCTGATAAACGACAAAATCCTCGTTTTCTATCAATTAAAAGTGTTGAATTACAATTCAAAGTATTAAATTTTAGAGAAAAACGAAAAAACCTATATTAAAAATGATTTAAATTTTTTTAGAAAATTGAAATGAATAATTGTCAAATATTGACTGAAATTGATAAAAAAATTATATTAAAATTATTTGATTTATCAATTAATCGATATAGTGAAGTAGAGTTAAATTTTTTTCCAATAAACAATTTCAAAGATAAATATTTTAGGTACGCAAAAAAGCACAATATGAACTCTTTATTATTCTTAATCATTATCATTTCAAATAATTGTTGATCGTATTGTTGAATTACTTAATCAATCGGATAAAATTGATCATTATCAAATAAAGTTCGTCCTATTTTCATTTTATTTAATAGAAAACATTAAAAGAAAAACTTCTAGGGTTGCCTTTATATTCTTTGTGATGATTATTCGTTTTTCTTACCTACAAAATCTTCATGGACAATGATGGAAAAATTATGGCCATCAATTGTTCTTATAAATTATACAAAAAAATTAAGCATACAAAATTTAATTAATTATGTTATTAAAAAAATTCTTAATACATTTGTTACAGATACATTTATTCAAGATATTAATGAAATATCAAAATGTGCAGCAATTAATTTATATCATTCATTTAAATTAGATAGAAGCAGAACTCACAATGAATGTAATCAAGCCAATATTATAATCTAATGGAAACACTTAATTCATTAATCAAACGCGATACATTGTAAATTTCATTTATAATTTAGAAATTTTTTTAAAATTAATTTTGTAGGACATGGAAACAACAAAAATCAATAATGCCATTATTATGTCTTCTTCTACAAAAGAATGTATCTATTCCACATTCATGTATTCAAACATTTGTTGATTTTCTTATTCATGATAATATGGAATTACGACAGGTTCGTTTTGTCTAGAACTTATCAAATTCAAGATTATTTCAATTCGAACATCAACTGTATTCTTATTATTTTTAAAGGAAATTTTCTAATCTGACTTTGACAATTGCTTTATAGATAAAAGGTTTTTCTTTAGAATTCTTATAGTTAAATCGAATTATATTTAGTTTTTGAGAAATTATAATATATATATTTAAGTAATATTTCTTTTTCAATATATATTTAGTGTGCTACAAAAGGCATTGTAGCATTATGTCATTTACAAAAACCACCTCGAATTTATGCAGAAAAAATTCTGCATAATATAAATCAATCATCATCAAATATCGACATAAATAATAATTATTCAGTCGATTATAATGATAACTCATGGATAACAATCGATAGTTTTAAACCACCAGAGGCACAAATCGAATGGGAACAAATATGTTTTTTAGATAAATCATTTTATGGTTATTATACATGGCCAAAAATAATTAAATATTCAATAAATACAAGAATACGCTATACTCAACATACAATGCCTGAAAATGTAGCTATTTTATATAATCGTTTTATTGATAAGAATTTTCTTAAGCAATTTATAAAATTAATAATTTTCGATGAAGATAATGATATAATAAATTTTAATAAAACTAGATTTACAACATTTAAAGTAAACAAAAAATAAGATAGATTTTATTATATAAATAATTTATTATTTAGAGTCTCTTTTGTAATTTTGGTTCTGTATTTATTGATAATTTTAAGGAATTATTATATTTACTTATTTATGAAGAGATGAAAGAAAACGAAAAAGGTAGTCATCGAGTAGCAACTGAAATTGTTGTCGGTATGATTCTTGGTTCAAAGTAGCGAACATTAGAAATGGTCAATGAAAAATTTCTTATTTTGCAAATAATTGTGTCATATTCAATTTTAGCTTGATGAATTTTGGAAAAAATTAACACCATTTCTTAATGAACTCTGTACTTATCTCTGTAATGAAACACGTTACTATTGGTCTCTATGTTTTAAGTATAGCATAGTTAGTTAATCAATCATTCAATGATCTTTTCATTTTTTTTAAATAATTTTTCTCAAAAACAAAACTCTAATAGGAAAAAATGGATCCTCGTCGAATGTATCGATTAATTGAATTTTTCGTATATTTATTAATAATCAAACAATATGTAATACACTTCATGAAACTTCTCAATGGTCATTAATTGAAAGTTAAAGAAATTTTCAATGGCGTATTCCATCTATTTGGTATTCTATACATCAACAAGCTAAAATATTATTCGATCATCCATCGAAATCTATACGAAAAATATCAATATCACTTAGCTTAGATATAACATTATCTAATAAAAATTTGATACATGAACCTAATGTTAATCAATTTTTTGATGATATATGTGAACGATTACGAGAAGTCATTGAAATTTATGATAAGAAACCATTAAGTAGGATTGATTTTTTTTTCTAAATCTCTCATTCTCTTTCAGTTTTTCAAATAATATCTTTAGTCAATGCCTCGAATCAAGCAATTACATTGGAATTTGAAAGTTGTAAAGCATTAAATTTTACAGAAACAGGTAAATACTCAATATTTGACATGATATCTATTTATTTAATAGAATTTAGTCCTTGAAATACTCAAATCATTTTTCTTCTAGTCACGACAACCAATAAAAGATTCAATTATTCGTATTTTTCCTTATGTATATATATATTTATATTAATTATATTTTTATTTAGCTTTGTGAAATAGAAAGTTTTAGTACTAATAATGATACCTTGAAAGACAATTTATCAATTAGTCGAATGAATATTGGAATGAGTTATTTACATGAACAGTTTTTAGAAGGACTTATTCAACAATTAGAACAAGTATGTCTATACGATAGAAATTCCATTCAACATTATTTTTTAAAAGGGATCTTGAATCAAAAATATTTTCATATTAATAAATAACTGATTAAGTTACATAGTCAAATTTGTAGAAATATAAGATAAGTGATAGAATTTAATGATCTGTAGTAAAAAAAAGCTTGAATATAGGAAAGTAACTTTGTTAAATATAAGTGTGTATAAATTCGAAATGGCATGCACATCGAGCTGCTATTGATTTTATTCAAAATATGATCTTTTGTAATTTATTCAATGCTCGTCAATATGCTAAACAATTACATAGACTTGTAATTAAATGTTTATTTGATGAACAACTTGAAGTACGTATGTCAGCATATAACTTTATCAAATTTCTATCAATGTGGTTATATACAAGTAAATGATAAAGATCTCATAAGACATCCTTTTATTTCTTTTGTTCAAATAATTTATTTAATATATTAGCAATACTTTTGTATGATGAGTAAGACTAATTATTTTACAATAATCGATAGTAAAAAAGTAACATTGACAAAGAATATTATTACACGACATGGAGGTAAACAATTTAAATTATATATGTATGTGTAATTTTCAATTAATTCTAATTATTATTTTAGGTATTTTGGGTTTATGTGCCATGGTTCTCTCAAGTCCATATAATATTTCATCTTATATATCAGACGCATTAATATTTCTTTGTAAACATTCAAATGATCGTCATATGATACAAGTATAGATTTTTTTCTATTTACTAATGTATAGATTAATGAAATTGTTTTTTTCTTTAGAAATCTATTCATCAATGTTTATCTGAATTTCGTCGTACTCACTATGATTCATGGCATAAACATCAACGAAGTTTTACAAAAGATCAACTTTTGATTTTGACCGATACATTCGTCTCACATAGTTATTATGTTTAAAAGAACATTATTATGTATTGACATATTATGATATTTTGTTTCAGCTATATACTTCTTCGAAATGTTATGTTTAAAATTAACTAAAAATAAAATTTTGACAATGTTTTTCAATAACGATATTAACAAGAGAATATCATAATACACTTTACGACATTGAATAAAAAAATAATTTGATTTTATTCATATATTAAGAATACAAACGGAAGTACCAAAGCATTCGTTCGTTTCTAAGTAATACTGAACCTAGGTATCTTCTCATTAGAAAGCTAACGTGAATTTTTTTGTCAAGAAAAATCTATTGTAGAAAAATAAAGGTTTTTTCTGTTTTATTGAATTTAACTAAAGGCTTTCAACATTGACAAAACAGACAACAATAATTGGTTTCTTGAAAATTCTAAGTTGATATTTTTGTCTTGAAAAATGACTTTTTTTCGGAAAAAAAGGACTGCAGCACATATCTGTAGATACTATCACCATTAAATATTTAATATACGTTCAACTTTTCAGTTCTTCACTAATTTTTATTACTTCACTAAGCATTTAAAAGACTCATTAATCATTATTTTGGCATCATTAAACTTTATTAAAAAATATATATTAGTATTTTTATATTTTGTCTTAGAAATACTCCATTTATCTTTCAATAAACCATTCATTAACGAATTTTATATAACAGCATCATAGTATTATCATTTCATTAACAATGTATTTCGTCTTAAAATATTTCAGAAGTTTATTGCAGAAATCCTTCATTGAAAAAAAAAGGCTACTATTTAAGCGGTCAGTAAAATAAATTAAATGATCAGTAAAATAGATGAAATGGTCAGTAAGATAAATGGTCAGTAAAAAGTATATAAATGATCAGTAAAAAGATTGAATGGTCAGTACTTAGACTATCACTCATATAAAAAAAAGATTGGAAAAAATCTAATTTTAATCGATTTTTTAAATCAAACCAGTGATTAAAATAAATTAAATTTATAAATATTAATTTTAATGGCGGCGACGGTAAAATGCGTTTTCTCAAACTTTATGTTGAAAACTCAGATGTTCGATCGCTTTTTCGGACTCCTTGCCTCGGAAAATTAGTAGATATGATGCTAGATGGACCTTTGACATAAATTCCATGCTTCAAGACTCGATATCAATTGGTACTTATTCATTTAAAAAGAAAAACTATTAGAATTGATTAAAATCGATTTAAAAATTTTAATCGATTTTAATAGATTAAAAATCGAATAATCTGACTAAAATTGAGTAAAATAGTCAATGAAAAAATTTTAATCGGTTAAAATGGATATTTATAAATTTAATTTATTTTAATCACTAGTTTGATTAAAAACATGGTTAAAACTGTCCCATTTTAAACGATTTTTAATCACAAAAAAATCGATTAAAATCAGATTTTTTCCAATCTTTTTTTTTTTTTATATGAGTGATAATCTAAGTACTGACCATTTAATCTTTTTACTGATCATTTATACATTTTTTACTGACCATTTATCTTACTGATCATTTCATATATTTTACCGACCATTTCATTTATTTTACTGACCGCTTAATAATATCCCAAAAAAAAAAGAAATAAACTAAGCAATGATGACAATGTCAGGAATTTTTAAGAAGGATTTGACTATCAATAACAAGAATAGGAATATGCTGTATATCTATACTCTTGGTTAGCGTTAGGGTGTGAGCTGTGAGGTGTGAGGTGTGGATGTGGCAAGGGGGAAAAAGCAGATTTCAAGATTTTCAAAGATTTCTAAAGATTTCAATTTAAGAAAGTCTGCACGCTTTGATAGATCTCTACTTGAGAACTTGTTCAGTCTCATTTTATCTGTGTTGTTATTTCACCTAATCCTTCCACAAAGAGAATCGTGTAAGATAAAATGACTTTGTGACCATGTTTTCGTGTGTTGATCTAACTGTTTAGCCACATAGTTGCATGCATTGGTACAATTCTAATGTTTCAATGAGAAAGGTTCACGATCACAAATCTGAATCTGTGATTGGGTTCCAGAAAATTCGAACTTCACGTTCTCCATGCAGGAACCACTTTCTACACCAATAACACTCTTTTGTAAAGTTTCAAAAAATATATTCAGGTTTGAGAGGTCCAGATTCTCAATTGGCTTTTAACTATTCGTGATCTTCATTTGTCTTTGATAAAGCAAATTATTATTTTTTGAAATACTGTGCCTACTGACAAATCATAAAGGTAAACGTCTCAAAGCCTATCACAGATTGGAATTGTTCGACCACACTTTTGTTTCGTTAAACTTTATAAGAAGTCGCTGTTTTTTTTTAAATAGATTTTTGGGAATGACAAAAGGTGAAACTAAATGGCACTCGTCTCAAAATATCACTTCTTCACTTGATTTTAACTGAAAACTATTAGGTGGAGAATTGTTAAACTTGATGTTTAATTTTAAGTTTCATATTAATATGCAATACAAGGATGTGGGTGTGGGCGTCTGGGTGTGAGTGTGGGTGGGGTGTGGGTGTAAGGCGTGGGTGTGAAGTGTGAGAAAGAAAGAGAAGATAAAACCTCACACCTACACTCACACCCACACCCACACCCACACCCACACCCACACCCACACCCACACCCACACCCACACCCACACCACACCCACACCCACACCCACACCACACACACACTCACACCCACACCCTCTTTCTTTCTCACACTTCACACCCACGCCTTACACCCACTCCCCACCCACCCCCAAGTCTAATTGAAATTCTGAAGGACTTGATTATAATTACTGAGTTTTGATTGGATTGAATGTTTTGCACAAATATAAACTATAAACTTTATCTATTTATTACGAAATATAAATCACAGGAAAACCATTGAGAGGAACTATTCTATCGGACAATATTATTGAATGGCTTTTCTTTCACATCCCGAAGGCCTTTCTATAGGCCAATTATTTATTGACAAAAGTGATATAATCGTCGCAATCTGTAAGTTGGTTTTTTTTGCTCTTCTACGCATTACATATAGTGCTGATGCCTATTTGATGCAAATAATGCTGCCGTACTTCCGTTCTTTTTTTTCTATATAAAGAAATAGACCATGAGACTGAGACATATTACGAAGACTATGATTGAAAACCTTGAATCTGACGTCTTGATATGGCTTGCTCCTTCAGAAGAGTATTTCGACGTTTACTATCAAAGACAATTTCGTAAATTTATCAATTATCTTAAAACATTTACAACGAATCATGATTGTGAAGATTATATTCAAAATTATTGTTTGCATGGTACTCGAATTGTACTCATAATTGATGAGAAGTTTACCGATGCTTTTGTCCGACGCATTCATGATAGTCGACAAGTGTCATCGATCTACGTTATCACCAGAGATAAAACCAGGCCAGATATCAGCTTAAGCAAGGTTAAAAACTTTTTCGTGACCGAATAAAGTTGAGCTCTCATACAAACCAAAAAAAAATGACTGTTGAATACAAACTTACTAAAATTTTTTAGTATTTTTTTTTGTGTTTTAATCTAAAAATCTTAAAAGAAATGTTTTACTGTTAATAACTTGCACTGCTTGTTCATCTTTTTTTTTATTAGGTGAAACTTCTGACTGATCAACTAGAAAATGTATTACAAGCAATAGCTAGTTCTCAAGCTCGACGTCGATTTTATGCTGAAGATCCGATTACATTTGATATATTCAATAGAAATATTGATCGTACATCAACAGATCTCAATGGTGAATTCATGTTTTCTCGACTTCTGATTGATACACTTCTTCGAATGAACACTTATGAAACAGATAGATCTGAATTTATTGATCTTTGTAAAATTCAATATCAGACAAATCCATTTGAACTAATTAGTTTACATAATTTTGAGCTTACTTATTCAGCTGATCAAGCTCTTCAATGGTACACAAAAGAATCATTCTTATATCGTCTATTGAACAAAGCACTTCGAGTGCGAAATATTGATTTACTCTATCTCATTCGATTCTTTATTCGTGATTTGTACAAACAATTAACACAAATACGATGCTCAACACCTCAGCGTGTCTTTCGTGGTCAATTGATGTCGGTCGAAGAGTTTCAAGTATTTCAACAATCACTTGGACAATGTGTTTCTATGAATTCATTTATTTCAACTAGTCTAAATCGAGATTTAGCTCTTTTCTATCTAGGCGATAGAATAAACGATAGTGAAAATGGTCCAAAACGTCTCTTATTCGAAATCAATGCTGATCCTTTGATTGAATCTAGCAAACCATTTGCTGAAATATCTTCATTTAGTAATTTTCCTGAAGAAGAAGAAGTTCTTTTCATGCTCGGAAGTGTTTTTCATCTTGATTCTATTGTCTTTGAACCAAATGAACGAATTTGGAGTGTCGAAATGACATTACGTAGTGATAATGAACATCAAACAAAAAATGTTTATGAAAAAATGCGAAATGAATTATGTGCTGGTGATGAAACACCAAATTTAATTCATTTGGGAAACATCCTTTACGATATGGGACAGTTTGAAAAAGCTGAAAAATATTTCCGTCGTCTCCTCAACAATCTACCAAATGAACATCCAGATATCGCAAATTGTTACCATAAATTAGGTCTCGTAATGAATGCTCAAGGTGATCATCAAGGTGGATTGAAATTGCTTCAAAAAGGTTTACAAATACGTTTAGAAACTTTACCATCAAATCATGAACATATCGGAAATAGTTACAATAGTATTGGATTTATATATGAAGACACATATGATTATCAATCAGCAATCGAATGGTACAAGAAAGGTTTAATCTTTTATCGAGACATACATGGTGATGAACATCCAAAAATTGCTTTATCTCTCAATAATATTGGTATGATGTATAATAAGCTACATAAATATAATGAAGCTCTTGAATGTCACTGCAAGGCTCTTGCTATGAAAGAGAAATTTCTTCCTGTTGATCATCCACAAACAGGCAACTCTTTGCATAATATCGGCGAAGTCTATAGAAGTTTGGGCGAATATGATAAAGCACGAGACTATTATAAAAAAGCTCTTGATATGTACGTTAAAACTCGGCCATATCTTCACGCAAATACTGCTTATATTTCAACTAGCTTGGGTCTTTTATACGAAATGATGAATATGCTTGATGAGGCCCTTGAATATTTATACAAAGCAGAAGACATTTTCGTTCAATTGGCTCTATCAGAAACCCATCCGTATCATCACAGAGTGAAAGAAGCAATTGCACGTATTGTAACCAAGAGAAACTAACTATAAACATTTGGAGGGGTATAGATATGACTGTAAGGTATGAGTTTTCTCTTGGGTGTGGGGTGTGGGTGTGTGGGGTGTGGGTGTGGGGTGTGGGTATGGGTATGGGTGGGTGTGGGTGTGGGGGGGGGGGGGGGGGTGTGGGTGTGGGGTGTGGGTGTGTGGGTCGGTGTGGGGTGTGTGGGTGTGGGTGGGTGTGGGTGTGGGTGTGGGGTGTGGGTGTGTGAGTGTGTGGGGTGTGAGTTAGGAATGGATGAACTCAAGATAAACAACCACACCCACACCCACACCCACACCCACACCCACAACCACACCCACACCAACACCCACACACCCACACCCAGACCCACCCACACCCACACCCACACCCACACCCACATCCAACAGCCCAAAATAATTTGTCGTTTTTCTCATGGCACTATAAATGTTAGCATGATTTATTTTAGATCTGTGTCCAATTGTTTTTATTTCAATAAATCACTAAACACTGATTAAACTATAGCAGCTTAAAGTGTCTTTATTCATTAGTTTTGATTTTGAAAATTCTGTCAATTATTAGTATGATTATCAGAATAGACAATTTCTGTAGGTCGAATGCTTACAGCAATAAATTTTGCGACAAGTGATTGCAAAAATATGAAAAGACAAAAAAACCTCCAAATTGAAACATGAGTAGTTATCCAGATCAAGCTACTCTCATGCACAATTTATTGAAAATACTAAGTTCTTAGTTGCTTGCTAAACGAGAAAATAGATTAGTCTAAACTTCAGCTTATTTTTAAAAATAATGTGCAAGTTTGTTTTCTGTTGCTATCACATTTCATTATTGTATGATAAGAGCGCGGAAATTTCGAAGTGACTTATATTGCTACGATATAACTTTAAAAAAAAACTCTTCCTTGCAAGAAAATTTCGTAACTCTAGAAGAAGAAAAAGCTTTACAATATGGTAATAGTCGAAATTTGCAATCGCTATTCCTGAGATAATCTACTCACTGTTGAGAAAAATATTTCTTCTACCTTTAAGAATTGGCTAACTAATCTCTAGTTGATTTGTAAAATTTTCGAAGAATTTATTTACTATTTAAACTTTCACGCGTTGTAGAAAGTTTTTGATATGTTTTGTTCTTATCTCACTCATTTCATGCTCGATTAAGGAGAATAATCTTATCATTTCCTAGCACAAGTAAAGGCTATCATATAAAATGAATACAGAATTCGAGATGTTCATGTTCTGATTAACTTTGACGAAATTTAATTTGGAAGGAGTCTCAAAGTATATTGGAAATAAAATTTGAATTCATACCCATTCATCTCTCAGACCATGAAACATACTTTGAAAATTAGTAATAGACAAGAACGACGAGAAGTGACAGATTCCGACAAAAATTTTGATTAAAAAACCAACTAATGTCTAATTAATCAATGCCTAATTAACTACTAGTAGCGTGTGGTTATTATTCTCTTACTGAGTGACTCTGGAATAATTAATGCAGAAAAAGTTAACGAAAAATACTGGTTGAATGAAACTATTCCGTTTTATGCACACATTGTGATAGACATTATAGAATTCTGTCAAGAATGGTAACGAACTCAGTTGACATAAAATTGAAGAAGCATATTAATAGGCATTTTATTAGAACTTGAGCTCGTTTCTTATTGAAATTGTAGAGAATGACTTGGAAGATAATACAATGTTCCAAATACATGGAATACGAAGAAATATTCTGCAACTAAATTTCACAATGGTAATATGTTTTGCATTTGAATTCTGTAAGAATTGCATTAACAGTTCTTTAGACTGTATTTAGTGAATATTTTTATTGACATTATATACCATTGCTAAGATTGCATTTCAATCAATAAATTTAAAGAAGTTATATTTCATCAGAGAACAAAAAACAATCGGGTTATTAGATATTGTTTAGATTTTAAATCATGCTATCAAATAATTCTACTAATTATTCATTTATTTTGAACTTCACTATATGAATGTAATGTAGAAAGCGTCAATCTGGATCATAACGATACAATTAATGGGTTCATT